ACCCGGATATCCAGAGCTTTTGAAGAAAGCACTTAGCCAAAAAAACGACCGGAGTGATCCATCCATTAGGATGCGGGCTACTGTAGACAGCACGGAGCGCTTGGTCCATGCTTTAGGAGGGGGATCGAGTTTGACTCGATACGTGAAAGTATCCTGCACAGGCTGATATTGTATGCCCAGCACAGTCAACAAATTAGGATTTTCAGGGTGCTCGAATAGATGAGGGTCTTGTTGATCCTTTCCTGGGAGGTCCTTCAAAATATGAGGGGAGTTCGACAACCATTTGCGCAACTCATAACCTCCGGACTTCAAGATGGCAATCAATTCGTCTCGCAATACAAGAGCTTCCTCGACGGTGGAGGCGCCCGTGCAAATGTCGTCCATGTAGACCGAAGTCTCCAAAATAGAAGCCCCCCGAGCGTATTTTAGATGCTCTCTCTCAGCGAGTTCAAGGAGGGTTCGCATGACGATATACGGGCTGGACCGGAGTCCATAGGTGGTGGTGTTCAACTCTAACACCTGTATCGGATCGCTGGGCTTCTCGCGCCACAATATCATCTGATATCGACGGTCATCACGATGGACCACTGATTGTCGAAACATCATCCGAATGTCGGCTACAAAACCACTTAGTGTCGACGGAATTGGGTCAAAATGTCGGATATGTCCTTATTACTTTAGGACTAGAGTGAAGACACTGGTTCAGGGACACACCATTTGACGAGGGGGCGGCGCCGTCAAAAACTACCCGAATCTTACTATCAGGGGTCCTCAAGACCGCATGGTGAGGGAGGAAGTAGTGCTCCTGTGAACGCCATTCGAAGTTTGACGGTGACATGTGACCCAGCTCTTGATACTCGCGCATGAACTCGACATATTTGTCGCGAAAGGCTGGGTCGCGCCGCATGCGGCGCTCCATGGAAAGCAACCTCTTCTCGGCCGGTGCACGAGATTGACCCAAAGGGGGCCGTGAGTCCAGAAAGGGTAAACGAGTGACAAAACGACCGTCGACGCGACGGCCGGTATTGTTCTGGTAGAACAACTCGCACTCACGGTCCAGAGGGTTGACTCGAGCCGCGTGTAGTGGCTCCTCAATTTCCCAGAACCTCTGGACGACTTCCGAAAGGGACACGCCGGCAACAGAGAGCGTGTCGGCCGTCTGAGGAGTTGGAGACCACAGAACCGGTCCAAAGAAGCTGTGCCCAAATACAGTGGACATGGCTGACAAGCCATAGGGCTGTAGGACTCGTATCTCGCCTAACAAGATCAACCCCAGCGCGTCGGCCCCCAGCAACAAAGCTATAGGCCCCGGTTGGGACCATTGAGGGTCTGCCTGTCTCAAACCCGACGCACAACGAACCGCGCTGTCATTTGTACGGATGTTAGGTAGAAAACCTACAATGTCATCGAGGACATTTACCTTAGCTAGAATGTGAAGGTGTTCGCTGGTAGGGCCAAACACCAACTCCGCTTGTCCCCTAGGAGCAGGAGGCTCGGCACCTCCGATACCTACCATTGGACGTGATTCAGAGCTCCAGGGGAGCCCTAGTCTTCCCACCAACCAAGTGGAGGCCACACTGCGTTGTAAACCCGAATCCAATAGAACGCGAACCGTTAAACAGTCGCCACTCGGGTTGTACACCTTCACTGAGGCCGTCGGCAATAGAACAGTTTGACAGGTGGACTGCTGACGGATCAAAGGCTCAGTGGAGGCGGCCGTGGTGGGAGCTAGGACGGCAGCCTCCTATCTGGAGCTGCCTCTGTCGGACCGGCACCCGAACCGGGGGCCCCGAGAGCGGCACTCCGACGGCATCTCGATGACCCGCGGCTGGAATTCCCCGAACGGGCCGACCTGGGGAGATTCGGGGAACCGAGGCCCCGAGGCCCGGGACAGATACGAGGTCTCAGGAACCTGGTAGTACCGGTATCGACCAAAGGGGGGAGGGCGGCATTCCAGCCGCGGCCACTCAGCCAACGGGGGTGAGAACGGTCTAGCTGACTGCTGAGTGGCCGCGAAGCCGCTCTCAACACGCTGAGGGGGGGTGACGACCCTCCCGTCCCTGGGGGAACGACTCCCCGACCGGTCGGGTAAGACCCCCCTCAGAACGAGGGGCACGGTGGTCGGCAGGCGAGCGCCGAGTCGCCTGACAGCTGGCTGAGTGCCCCCTTCCGTGGGAGTCGGGGGGCCGGCAGGGCCCCGGGAGGACGCGCCGCTCGTACCCAGGCATAAAATAACATGGTGGTTGTCCTGGTAGTGCGTGCAGAGCCGCTGGTGCGGGCAGTCTCGTTGTAGATGCCTTTCCAGGCACGAGTAGCACCAGCGGCGCTCCCTGGCGATGGTTCGCCTAGCCGGGGCCGGCTTGCACAGCAACTTAGGGCACAACATCGCCCGCTGATCGGATGCTCGACAATAGGAGCAGGGGGGCGCTTCCCTGGCCGCTAGGCCAATATAAGAGGGTAGGGGGTGGCGCCCTTCCGCGGGAGCTCCGCTCGGCCTCAGGGGGGTTGGCGACGCCTTGGTCGTCGAATTCCGCCTCTCCCTGGGCACCGCCCGGGTGACAACCTGGGGTTCCTCGACGGCGCCTGCTGTGTTCTCCATCTGTCTGCACTGCTCCTCCAAGAATCGCAGCAGGTCCCTGAAGGGAGGAATATAGGAGGCGCCGTCCCCGCCGTACCTCTCCTCGAAGTGGAGCCGAAGGTCGAGGAGGAAGGCGAGACAGCACAATGTGGAGCAATAAAAAGGACCATTCGTCCACCGGTAAATCCAGCCGCCTCAATGAGTTGCAAGCCACCACGACTGGATTTACGATGTCCGTGCGTAGTTTGGTCCGGTCCTTAAGCAGCGGGAGGTTTAGCAACTTCCGAACGTAGTCTTCCGCAATCCGGCGGACGTTGTCGTACCTTCCGGCGAGGAGGTCCCAAGCATTCTGGTAGGCGTCGTCCGACAATTTCAGGTGACCGACGACGCCCAGGGCCTCCCCCTCCAATGAGGCTAGGAGGTATCCCATTGTCTGGCTGGGTGTCAAGTCCCTCCGTGCGTCCACCAGGCTGTCAAACAGACCGACGAACGTCAGCCATTCGGAGAGGACTCCGGAGAACCTTGGCAGGTCCTGAGTCGGGAGTCATCCTAACAGCTCCGGCTGAGTAGGCTGCTTCCGAGGAGACTCGGACAGGCCCCTCAGTCTAGCTTCACGCGCTTCCTCCGCATCTTTGGCCCCGCCTCGATCAAATCGTCCGTGAGCGCAAAAAATTTCTCGTAGTCCGCGAGGCAGGAGTCTAGGACTTCCTGTTCCGCATCCGAGGCCAAAAGCTCTGTGCCAGCCTCCTCCACTACATCCCTTCGGGCATCGACCTGCTCGAGCCGCTTCCCTAAACTATGAACCCGATCAGGTCCACCTATCAAAATATGGGCGTTTTCGCGGCCCAGCGCAGCTCTGCCTGCAGGCGAAGCGCCGGTTGCTTGTGCGACGGCATCACTAATAAATACAAACTAATGCACAAAACCCAAAAATTAAAAACACAAATCAAATTAACAAATAACAAACACTAGTACGATGAAATCAAGTTAAATACAAATTACTATTTATTAAATTAAATACAAGTTACACTACAATTAAAGGTACATACTACAGTTAATCAGCAAAATGCCTCGCTCAACAACCGACCCTACTCAAAGTACCTAGCCTTAACAAACTACGGTAAGTACCTAGGCTTAACAAAACTACGGGCGTTGTCTTTCTTCTACCCGCCAACAACAAAAAAAATATTTATATGTAATTTTTATTACGTACTATTTTTATATTATATATTATTAATATTACGGCCGTGGCGTGATTGGAAATCAATCAACCACGCTCTGCTACCAGAAATGTTCACGCACCTAGTTGCCCAGACTAAGGTCTATCAGACTGGGGCCCATACAGCTGTTAGGTTCGACGAACAACTAAGTGTGGGGACCCAACTGGCCGTTCTATCCTACTACACTTTAATTGGAAGGCTAGTCAAATAAAGAGTACTTACCTGTATCTGAGGCAACGACTGTCTCAAGGTTCGGTCAGGACGGAGGTGTGTATGTGCATGTGTTGTGGTCTTTTTAGTGGTGTGGATTGTAGTTGACCTGACTGGACCGTTGAAGTCGGCAGCTACCCGGACTCCGGCACCGCTCCAATTGTGGTAATCTCCAGCGGCGTTACCCACGGTCAACTTCTTTCTTCGTCACTATGTCAGTCTATTAACTTTATCGTACAATTAACTAACTTCAAGGCGCAACTAACTCCCGTTTATTATAAAGCGTAACACGCGGCACGACTCGTAGGTCAAAGTTCACCTTCGCTCACTCCGTAACAAATTGTTTCAAAAACCATACGCGACCCTTTAATGCGCTTGACGCTACTGTACAATTAAACACTAACTTCTAAATAATTAGACAAACTGGCAACTAATATTCTAGACTACACGCTTATTCTTCGCTGCACAAATTCGTTAACAAAATTCGGCGCCACGCGGCTCGAGTCCGTTCACAGTAAGCAATGCTCGACTCCGCTTGACGACAAAATTACCGGATCTCCCCCGTGCTCCGCGCGGGCGGGGAGGTGCCTTCTAGCCGCGTACATCGACGAAACGCGCTAACTAGTCTCAATTATAGAAATTTTAAATTTTAACGTTTGGCGCAAACAATATCGATGCTAGTTAGTACCTCTACGTGTGCGATGCTGTGTAGTGTGCCCGTACGTTTTAGGTTCGTTTCATACAAAGGTCCTTCAGGGCGCGAGTCCTACTCCTACTTTTATTTTTGTTTATGTGAGTGATTGATGTGTACAAAATTTTTAGTATTTCCAACATATTTTATTTTGTAATCAATATGTTACCGCGAGACCAAGCATTACTTGTATTTTATGTATGCTCTTTCTATGGTATTATTATTACAACTATGTCAATCAATTAAATATTCAAAATTATTACAAAAAAAGGAATTACATTTTGTTTGCTATCTTTTGTAGGTTTTGGCCTAAAATAGATGACGCGATCCGCGCAGCAGCCTTGGAGCACAAGGTGAAGGTTCGGATGCTGATCAGTTGGTGGAAGCACTCGCACCCTGAGGAGGACTACTTCCTAAGATCCCTCACCGCTCTCTCTCAGTCCTACCCCCGAGTCGATATACAAGTGGTGAGTGTTTGTTAATAAAATTAAAATGGTAAAATTAAACACATACAACCATGTTTAAATAAAAAACACTTCAGATGCGTGGTCACCTCTGAGAACTAAGATGGAATTATTATACCGATTTCTTATATTCTTCAAAACGGGACACAGGAGTGCACGCGCTGCTGCTAGACCGCAGAAATATGTCAGAGGGTGATACCAACCCGGACCGTAACCTAAGCAGAAAAAAAAGGTCCTACAACATAGTGAAGAGTAATTTAAAGCAGTAAAGTATCAAGAAATATAAGAGTTACAAATATCTTCTCGTTCTATCTTACTTTTAACTGAACCGGTGACAAGCGAGAACCACATTCCACCTGATGACAAGTGGTTGCTGTGGCTCATGGACATCTACATCTATCTTCGTTTGCGAATTAAAATGCAGATGCGTTGTCTGTCACCCGTGAGGACTAAGATAGAATGCCTCTTTTCCAGTAAAAAGGGTCTCTCGGTAATCTACACTCTCCATACCAAACACGGCAGCATTAAGCTGCTATTTTACGCTGGTATTCTGTCTGAGCGTGCTCTCCGGTTGAGCCGACGCATTCTTGCTGCAGCCATAATATAGCAGCAACGTGGCTCTATCACGTGTAAACCGATCTACAAGGTTAGCGATGACAATGACAATTTTCAAAACTTGCCTTAATAAATATCTCAAGTATCGAGTTCATTAAACTATATTCATTCATTTAATATTTTTTACAATTTGCGCAAATTTACAGAAACGTTTCGTAGTACCATCAACGCCAGAGCAGGACAAAATACCGTTCGCCCGCGTCAACCACAACAAGTACATGGTCACAGACCGTGCAGCCTTAATTGGCACTTCCAACTGGTCAGGGGACTACTTCACTACGACCGCTGGAGTGTCCTTCGTGTTCCAAAACTTTGAGAATGGTCTTCTTCAGAACATGACCCAAGATATAAGGAGAGAACTGCAGGAGGTTTTCGAACGAGATTGGACTTCCCCATACGCTGTGCCGCTGCGAAAATTATAGCGTACATTAACTTGGTAAAACAACTTCTTTGCGACAGAACCTGCCAATTTACCATAATAATTTTGCAAATTTTATTGATTTATTTTACTGAAAATAATTTCGCGTTATTTTTTACTATAATATACCGAATTATATGTAATGTATTGTGTTACGAATTGACGGTATTATAATAACAATTCATCGTTGACGCCGCAAAAAGAACCTCAATTTTCCAAAAATGTTCCATATTTCTTGCACTTGTGTAATTTTTTCAAAAATTGAGTTTCGCCCCTTTGGGGCGAATTGTCAACTTTTGTGTGTATGATTATTAGACTTAAAAATGAACTCTATCTAAAAATTATCTACATTTAAAATAGATCTCAAATTTTTATTGCTATGCATTCTTTATAAATGTATCAAATAATCTAGAAAGTGAAAACTTCTTAGAATACCTGTGAGGATCTATATATTGTTTCACTTAACGGTATTTAAAAAGTCATATTTGTAAATAAATATTGGACATGTTTTTAATATAAATATAAATTTCATTGAAATTAATGAAGTAGAAAAAACTTAAATTTATGAACTTTATTCTCTTTGCTAAATATAAACTTAAAAAATTTAAAATATTACTATAAAGTTTAAGTCTTCAGTATACTAAAATAAAATATACTTAATGGTAAGAGTATAGTTAAGGATTTTCTATCTTATCGATTGCAATAAATAAAGTTATGATATCGTATATACAAATACTTTGAAGTTTAGTTGTTAACTTTATGAATCCAGATAAGGATCCTTTTTATTTATTAAACTGTTCTACGCGAAACATGAATAATTGAAATGAAATTAAAATGAACTTAATATAAATATTTAATATTAGCTATTTTAAGATATCATTTAACCGAATATATGTTAAGGCTGCAAGAAGCTGAAGGCGGATACACCTAGCCGGCTTCAACTAGGTGCGGCCTATTCTAATTGGTTAAACCTCTGTGTACTGTAACATTTGTCAAAAATACGAGAGCAGGTATCAAGTAATGTCAGCTACAGTAGGTTAATTTTCGCCTGCAGATAAAGCTGTGGAAGATTTTTTATCTTATTTTTATAAATGGTGTAGGATATACCTAAGTTTTAACCAATTGTAGCCGCACCAACATATTAATCCCTAGGGTGCATACTTATGTACTTACTTTCTACTTACATATGAAATTTCATGATGTGAAAATATTTTATATAATTAACTAATAGTTATTAATATTCTTTAAAAAAAAAAACATTTTCAAAGCCATGCTAAAAGCTGGCTATGCATGTAACATAACCTCTGTATGTTATGGTAGTAAGAGCCGTGGTAGCTCAGATGGTTAGCGCTCGCTGTAAATTACACAGTACGCGAGGAACCCGGATTCGATCCCCGCCGAAACCAATGAAATTGTTAAATTGCAATTTTAAGTGCTGATTTACCACGTGCTCGATGGTGAAGGAAAACATCGTGAGGAAACCTGCATGCCTGAGAAATAGGAAAAAAATATTTCGAAGACATGTGAAGTTCGCCAACACGCATTGGGGCAGCGCGGCGGACATTTCCTTGCCCTAAAACCCTCTCAGAAATGAGAGGAGACGTTATAATAGGCTGTAACTTTAACTTAACTTTATGTTATGGTGAGCATTAGAGATGTTAATTGATGGCGAAATAATCGATTATTTTATAATCGATTATTTAAATTGTGTCGATATCGAGGAGGCCTGCGCCCAGCAGTGGAACGTATATAGGCTGTAACTTTAACTTTTTAACAAACAAGTGGTTAGCTTTTTGAATGGTTGAAAGAAATGCTTTAAAGCCAAGCGTATTTCAATTGATTAATTGTTATGATTACAAAAACATACTCTCAGAGAAATGAGAGGAGACCTGTAGGACGTTATAATATACTGTAACTTTAACTTAACTTTATGTTATGGTGAGCGTGAACATCCCTAATGTTAAACAATGCGAAACGATGCGAAATAATCGATTATTTGATAATCGATTATTTAAATTGTGTCGATATCGATTAATCTAAGCTTTTCGTTAAAATAGATTAGATAGATGCTGCGATGTGCAAAATACTGTATTCTCGGTAAATTTAAACAATACAATTATCCAACAAATAAAATGAATAAAATTCTAAAAGAATTTTTTTATTAAATTTATTTATTGAAAGTTAATCAACGTTTCCATTGACTTTCTATTTATTGATGACAAAAGAAAATTGCATAGAAAGATGAGAACTGGTCAGCCTATTTTACATGTCAGTAGCGATCAGGCCAGCCTCTGAAAATAGTCTTTCAGTAAGCACCGATTATAATCAATGAAGTGTCACTTCCTTTGCAACAAAGTAAATTTCGAAACTAAAACCACCCACAAACAACAAAAACAAAACCACCGATGGTTATTGTAGAATGAAACGTTAATCTTTTTGTACTTGAGTGAGCCTGGCAAATGACAACGATATTGATCATACAGCCAATGTCATCAATTTTATCTTATATCGCGAAGTATCGATTACTTGGTATAAAATAATCGATTATTTCAATTTTAGATTAATTGATCATTCGATTTATCGAATCGATATGGAACATCACTAGTAAGCGTGCCTTTTAGCTTGGTGTGACAACGATGTCGGTCCTGTAAAATATGCCGTAGATTTTTATATCTTTCTATATTAAATTGTAGTGTTTATTAATTTAGAATTAATGACATTAAATTGTAAAATTATTATATATGCTTTGTGACTTTTAATACTATTATCACGAATTAAAACATACCAATTAAAAATTGACAAGATGACCTAAAGTTCTGATGTGTATTTTTCTAAACTGTTGCTCCAAATGCTATAAACTATTCATACATATCAATGATTTCAATACCCATGCATTAAGTATTATGTAACGAGCTTAAAAAGCAATAAGTTATTGATTTCAAAAGTTGGGTGCAATGATTGTGTTGCAGGTAATTGAAGGACCAATTAATGTTGGTTATTCCGTGTGACATAAATGCATTGATTCTTACTTTTCTTTAAGAATTAAAAAAATATTTGGTAAACTTGAATCTACTGAAGACTTCTTTATTTGAAAAGCCCTTTTAATAATATATTGATCTATTTTATTATATAAGGTGATCTCAAAAGCAATAGTGTGTTTTGTAAAGACATGCATGTGCGTGATATTCAAAAAGTGTTAGTGTTACAAGTGTAAATAAAATTACTTCATAACTAACCTACTTTTTATTTACACCTAATTTTTATTACACCATTCATTGCAATAACATCGTCGAAATTAATGCATATATGTATATTGTATTAGTGATTAAAATAAAAATATAATATATTTTTTTAATGTTATTTACCGTGCGGTGGCGGCGAAAAATGTATTCCGTCTATTATTCCATTCTGTTCTATGGGCGTCGTAAGAGGATCGTCGATAGGAAAAGCCAAAGAACATAAAGATTTCATGGTCTTCAAAAGGTAGTGGCATAGCTTCTTGGTAGTACTTTCTTATATCTTTTTCATCAGTCCTTAAAAGTCTATTATTATTGCTGAACATGGACTTCTCCCGTTGGGTAAGAAAAGTAGAATTGAATTACTTCCAAAGCGTTGGCGGACTTCACATGTTTGTTATTCGAAATATTTATTCCTCAAATATGCAGTGCTCAAATATTATAAACAAAGTGTTAAATCTTCACTTAAAATTGCAATTAACAATTTCATTGTTGCCGGCGGGAACGAACCCGGGTTGCTAGCTTGCTTAGCACCTGAGCTACCACGACTATATCTTATATACGAAGGGCACACTGAAATGATCGGGAATAAGAAAAACCACATGCACGGTATAGCTAAATTGTATTTTATTGTTTTTCGAAGTATTCTCCCTTCAACTTAATGCACTTTTCCATTCGTGCAAACCATTCATTAAAACAGTAATTCCAGTCTGAAGTTGATGTTGACAAAATGGCTTATTCGTACGCTTCCTCAGCTGCTTCGGGGTCTTCAAACCGTTGACCGCGTAATAAATCATTCATTCTAGGGTATGTAAAGAAATCGTTTGGGCTCAGGTCAGGACTGTACGGAGGATGGCTCATCAGCTCAACGTTTTCCTGTTTCAAAAAATCATTTGTCTTCCGAGCCGTATGGGAGCTCGCATTATCGTGATGTAAGATGATGCGACGTTCCGGGTTATTTTTTCGGAGTTCGGCTATCATTTCTGGCAAACAAACCGTTACTCAGCGGTAACCGTTCTGCGTTTCTGTAAAGGAATTGTAGCAACATGCCCCTTTTTCGAGACAAACGAAGCGACCATTTTCTTTGACACGCTGCGGGAGCGAACCACTTTCGTTGGTTTGACCTCGTCTTCGAAGACCCAAACTGCTGACTGACGTTTTCTTTCAGGTTCGTATGAATAAACCGATGATTCGTCACCTGAGACGATATTATAAACGGCATTTGACTTCCCTCAGCGTTGCAGCGTATTCCGGCACCAATCTACACGAGCCGCTGTTTGCTCTTCGGACACATTGTGGGGAACCCAGCGGGAAACTAACTTTCTTACACACAGCTCATTATGTAATATCGACTGAACTGCAGTCATTCCGATACTGATAACAGCTCGAATCTGCTCGTATGTCACACGACGGTCATTTAATATAATAGTTCGCACAGCTGCGATGTTTTCAGGCGGACCGCTGTTCTTGGGGGACCTGCAAAAGAAACAATGTTGAGTGACACACGACCGCGTCAGAACTCGGCATACCAGCGGTATATTGTCGTTTGACTCGGTGCTTCAACATCATAAATCGAAACAAGTTCGCTGAGACATTTATATTGAGATAAGCCGCGACGAAAATTGTGATAAATTATAGCACGGAAATGTTCACGCGTGAGCTCCATTTCTGTTAACGACGTGTCAACTTTAAACCAACATAGTTTATTTATTTATTTTATTATTTTTTTAACAATTTATGTACACACAAAATAATGTTACAATGAAGA